AGTTACAAATTTTCACATTTATATTTATCAAAACTCCAAAAATTAATTTGATATTAAAGATTTGGTATTAAATAAATTAAAAAGTAAAATAAGCGTAGGTAACGTAATAATCATAATATCATATTGAATTGTATAAATTAATTTTTGAATGAACTAATAAATGAGCTTTATATCTTTTATAATTATTAAGTTTATTTAAACAAGGTAATTGTTTGAAATTTTTGTATGTAGGTAAATAATTTTAATGTTTATTTATTATTCATAAACACATAATCGTTTAGTTTACATGGAATATTACAGTTGACAACATTAGAATATAAAATAAAAAATACTGTTTACGCTGTCGTTATAACATTTTTCTTATAATAATTGGAAAACAATAAAGGTTACAAAATTTGATGATCTTAATATGGTCGTCGTACATTTGATTCTTATCTAGTTTATAACATAATAATATTGCATTACACTATATTAAAACAGAAGTATGTTCTTAATATCTATTTCTTTAGATAGCAACGTTTGTAATATTTGAAATTACCGCTAAATAATATGGAGTAAAGTGTTATATCGTTATAAAATCAATAAAAATAAAAATTTTATTGATTTTATAACACTACTCGAATTTCTTCATTAAATTAAAAATTATGATTGTTGTATGATGTACATATATTGTATTCGGTTCTTGCGAGTTGTCGGTCGTGTTTATCTCAAAAAAAAAAAAATCTTGTAGGTTCGATGCCGGCTAAGTGAATAGATTCATTTTCGGTTTTAGTTAAATTGATTTTGACCCTTCTCTGCATACAGGTATGCGTCGATGTTATCGTAATAGATTTCGGAAGGTTTCCAAATTGTGAAGTCGGCTTAGGATCTTTTTTCGATAATATTTAGGCGATTTAATGTACCTTGTATACATTCGGGCTTCAGGAATTAAATACCACAGTCATAAATACTAATAAAGTCTGTAATGTGGTGTAATGCATTGGAAATTCAAAGCTTACCGTTGTATACCGTTGTGTATTGTTGTTGTAGTCCTCTAAAAACTATAATTTATTACATACATTATTAAAATTGAATGTTTTGCTCGGTTGTTATTGAAATGCAAGTATAGTAATATGTATTAGTCTGTAATAATATAGTCACTTTAACATTTGTATTTTGTAACCGTGCCAAATAAATAAATAAATACAACGGGGTCTTTTGATAAGTTAATTTTAAAAAAGTCATAAATTATTAAAAGGTCGAAATTTGAAAATCTGTTACAGAAATTTATCTAACTTTATAGATAATTAGATAGTATATGCTGTGCAATATTAAAAACGAAGATATTAGTACATGACATATTAAATACCTTAGTAATACAGATAAAACAATGTAACAGAAGTACTTTGACCGCCTTTATAGTATAAAAATCTACAAGTGTACGGATAATGACAGAGATATACTCTATTACATACCCTCTCACAGTCCTTTGCCCGGAGCCATACTGGCCATTGCTTTGTTCGTTATTTGAAGTCAAAATAAAACGGGTTTGGCCTTTGTATTTGACAATTGTGTTACAAAGTACTTTAATTGTATTACCTACTTATAATAATTTAGAGTTAGCTGCTTAAATTTAAAAACAAATATTGTTCATTAGGTTAAGGAGTGATGTATATATCTAAACAATAAAACTTATAGTAGAATTGAAAGCATTCCGCTATAATTTTTCATGAGTGATTTCTTAACTCTGCCTACTTAGAAAGCACATGAAACTTCCTCAATCACTCACGTAGATGAAGAAGCTCTTACTTCCTTTAATCCTAACAATTAAGCCGTAATTTATAATTCCCTATATTATATAGGTAATCTATATTTATGTCTTACTAAGCTCATTACTTTCAATTGTAGCGTGGTGAGACTTTCCTCCGAAGCTGTGTTCAAACGTAGTAATTTTTAGTGAGGTAGTAATTTTTATCCTTAATGGATCCGATAGCACAAGACGTATCGTATCGTGCTGGAATATGAACTTCAAATCTAAATAAAAAAATATTAAAAACGCATACGACTAATGTGAAACCATACATTGAAGACAAGTTAGAGCATAACTTGATATGTAGAAATGTCAACTGCTCAGATAGATAGGTGCTCAACGTGGCCTCAACCGAGTCAAATGGAAAAGAAAAACAACACATTATCAAAAATATCAAATTATTTTGACAACTGTACTTTGTTTTGGTTTAAATAAGTGAACCAGTATTGAAGCGCATAAAAGCTTGAAACGAGTTTAAAAATTATAAAGAAATTTTTGAGATCGACTTTGAACCTTAATATAAGATTGACATGACAGGAAGTGGTCAAATCAAGTCACAAAAGAAGAATAAATTTTCTAAAACGGATGTTATCATTCTTCATTGCTCGTTATATATTATTCATAAACTCTTTATGAATAATTTTTAATAATATAATATATGAAATTTAATGGTTCTTAAAAACTGTGTATAATGCCAACCTTAAGATAATACATACTTTCTCATTTATATTGTTTAGCAAAACAAATTTAGACATAGTAACTCTGTGCTCGTGTTTGTTCAGAACATTTTCCATTTCCAAGGATGATTTATAACGTGCTGACGCGCGATGATGAACGAAAACACCGTCAAAAGTGTGCATATTAAAGAGAGAGAAAATGCTTTGAGAGCTTTTGAAGTTTGCCAGTCAACGCAGAGGTCGCTTAGAGGACTTTGGTCGAGGTTCAATACATGTTCAATTATATGATAGTATATATTGATGGCCTAATTAAGGTTGCGGAACTTCGCTGGATGCAGGATGCTTCAGACCGAGCGAAGTGGAAATTCCTTGAGGAGCTTTACGTTCAGGAGTGGATGAAACTACCTCTGGCTCCAATATGACTAATTCGCCTCCACCCACCTGATGGAATATGATGTAATCGTAGGTGATAAATGCACTAGTTTGGTTAAAGTCTATTTACTCGTGAAGTAGTCTTCTTGTACTTGGACGGATAAACTGACGCTGACAAATTGTTCGAATCGTTTAGATTATACCTATAGATATCCGAAATAGTAATAGAAGAATTCCTTACTTCTAGTCTTCTGTACGTTCTAAGTCTTAGAGAGGATCATTGTTTTTGCGTTTAAAAAAAACTATCTCAGTAAATATGTGCATATAAACTTATCTAATATATAAAATTCTTGTCACAGTTTTAGTGTTTAAACTCCTCCGAAACGGCTTGACCGATTTCGATGATTTTTTTATTTTTCAGAAAATTATGGTAAAACAATGTTTGCCGGATCAGCTAGTCTTAATATAATCGCATACCTTTAAAATAACAGTTCCGTTTATGCAATGCTTGCCGATGAGATAATATTAAAACAATTTTGTTTGTAATATTTAGTTGTCTAATATCATCAGAAAAATAATTATGATATGAAGGAGATTGAGTGAAACAAAAAAAACGAAAATATATCAACTGTTTACATTTAACATAAGGATTAAGGAACATTGCATTAGTACCTTTTGTTGTGACATAATTTGAGTTATTATTTCTTTTAGCATTTTGGTACATATAGAATATTTTATATAGGTGGTGTAATGGCTAGACGGCGGCGACTAATTTTTAGCCTTCAGATAATTCTTTCGGATGTTCTTAATCAATGTGTGTGTGTGTATAATGTCTCAGATTCACAGTTTAAAACAGATCCTGTAGTACTTTTTTTATAATGCAAAACATTCTTATCTAATGACTTGAAATGATACGTTTTGATTTACATAGTTCACTTAATCGCCTAATGTACAGTACCTGGAGGACCAAGCTTTGCTCGGTTTGCTTTTTTTTTTTTTTGGTAAATCGTGTATTTTGGAAATTACATTTAAAGACAAATTACTGAGTAATGAAATATGCATAATATGTTTCGATCTTACCGACGTAATAATAAGAAAATATGAACTGGTGTTTTTCACAAAAGAAAGAACTTTAAAAAAAAAGGGAAAAAAATAACAAAATAAAAAATCGACAAAAAATAAAGGATAAAGAAATAAATGATCTGGAATCGAAAAAAAGTAAAAAAATAAGTGTGTAAATGATCGTGACGGCCACGGCGAATCTACGCACATACTAAATTTAATATATATATACAAGAATTGCTCGTTTAAAGATAAGATAACATACTATTGGAAACAGTACACATAAAAACAAGCTGAATCTAGACAGGTATTTCACAAAATGTAAATATTACACTTCTACGCAATTTTATGAAAATTTCTGCGATGGTAAATAAATGTGAACGTAGGTATATCACAAGTCTTTCGACCTACTTGAATATTCCAGCCAAGTCCAGTCAAGAATCACTTTACATAATTAAGTTACGATAACGAACATCATTTAACATTGCTTGTTGTTTCAATACCAACCATGCTCTAACTATAGTATACTAAATATAGTAAAAAAATTGTTAACATTATAAATTAAAATTTATATACATACGTCATATAGAAAACAATAGCTTATTATGGAAAAAAAAATCTGTTTTTGCTTTTGCTTCTAAGAACAAAACGAGAATAAATAAGCCACATTAACTAACAAAGCAATGTCAAACCAACATCTGTCACGTTTGATCCCAACACGCATAAACGTTGTTGTACCTACACAAAAAGTAGATCGTCATGTTCACAAGACCTTGATACTATTATAGGAATATCACAAATTCCACGCAGCTTATCTTCACAGTAGGCTAAACAGATCAAAAAAAATCCCATTCAATTATGTGGTATTTCATTTTTGATGAATTTTTTGACGGTTAGAAGAGAGCTGATGTTAACTTTATATTTAAAAAAAGAATATTTGATTATTATGTGATTAGAGATTGTTTTATCTAACAATAAATTTTCTTTTTTATAGATCACAACGATGCAATACAATGAAGACATACTTCAATGCAACGAAACGAGATCAATATTGGTCCCGTATCCATGAAAGGATGTGAGGTTAGGCGTGCAATCCCACTATGTCAAACGCGACTGACGCCTTTTGTGTGCCGGGTGCCACGGAGTTTTATAAAGCTTACAGTCGACTTCACGGCTACATTGCAATAGTGATATGCGTTATTGGTTCAGCCACAAATTCCATCAACATAACAGTTCTGAGCCGCCGGGAGATGATCAGCTCAACAAACTCGATTCTCACCGGTCTCGCAGTTGCCGATCTCTTAGTTATGTTGGAGTACATACCTTATGCCCTTCACATGAACATTAAAATTGGTCCAGAAGTAAATAAGAACACGTACGCTTGGGCCGTTTTTGTGTATTTTCATTCGATATTCAGCCAGACGTTCCATACGATCTCCATCTGGCTAGCTGTGACTCTTGCAGTGTGGCGGTACATTGCAATTGCCTTTCCACAAAAAAACAGAACTTGGTGCAGCAAGCAAAACACTACGATTGCCATTGTGAGCGCCTACGTGTTATGTCCGTTTTTGTGTCTGCCTATATATTTCGCGATGAACATAGTGCCAAATGAAGTGACCCCTCATAACAATTCCGAGTTCGCTGAAGATTTGTCACTTCCACACAATAGAACAGTATACGTGTTAGAAATGTCAAAAAATAAAGAACTGGTGACCGCAATAATGTGGATTTATAGTGTTATATTGAAATTAGTTCCCAGTTTAGCTTTATCAGTTTTAAGTACGTGTCTTATTTCTAAATTGACTACAACGGAGAGAAGAAGACAGAAGCTTCTAAAGCGATCGATAGTGGGGCCAAATGATGTAAGCATAAGATTTTAATATTTGGGTAAGCTCATTCTCACCTTGTACAAAATTTAAATTGTTGGGTGAGAATTTTTTTAATAATAACAGTTAACAAAATTGTTCTACTTATCCAACATCACAAAATAAAAGTTGTATACTAGACAATAAACAGTGTTCTTTTAATTATCTTTTTTATGCCGTATACAAGTCTGTATCATGTGCTTTCAATTTTGTAATATTTACAGACTGAAAAGCAATGTTTAGCAGAAGACTCTTCCGCAGCGCGACGTTCTAGCCGTACCGATCGCACTACCCGCATGCTGCTTGCTGTACTTGGCCTTTTTCTATCCACTGAGGTGCCGCAAGGCCTATTAGGCCTTGCAAGCGCTTTAGCACCGGATTTCTTCAAAAGCTGTTACAGTATGTTTGGTAAGTCAATCACTATAATTTATTGACTTTTTAAGCTGTAGTAAGTGATAGTCTTTTTAAATTACGTATTTTGAATCTGTAGTTGTATATTGTATGATAACCTTAAAAATTTGTTTGTGTACCGACAGGGCCAAAGTGTCAACAATGATTCTATTCGAGTAATTTATAAAAGACAATTCATTCTTTGCAATTTATCCGAAGTCAGTTCGAAGACTGTATTAAATTTAAAGAAATAATGTTTTATCACTTTAACTGCTTATAACAAAACAGATTGAGGAATGTTAGTGGAACATCAAAATGTCTTATTTGTTATTTACATTAAGTACTATTTCTACATAAATAAGTAAATAACCATCACAACGCAAATTATTTTCAACTGCAGGTTAACGTCAAGTAATTTAGCTAGCATCAATTAATTACAATTGCAGGTTAGCATCATTTCATTTTATGCTCTTCGGTTGGTAGAGTATTAAACAAATATTTGTGTTGGAGAAATAAAGACTGAAGAAACATGAGTTCTCTTAAAGTTATAAGTAGTAGGGTTATCACTAGTCTACCAGAAAGTTTCCAATAAAAATAAGACATGTAATCGTATTGTTTACAAACATGAATTGTTTATTTTCCCGGGAGAATTTTTCACACTAATATAATAAAGTAGAAATAAAAAAACGCCAGGATTTAATGTATTTTCTAAAGAAAAATAGTACTTACTGTTTTATATTATATTAATGTTTATATCTGTTTTATATTTATTTTAACCAAATAAGGAACTTTATAATTCATTCAATATACTAAAGATAGATTGCAATATTAACTTTGATAGCCGAAACAGATACTGGTCTTTATTTCGGGTCCGAAATCACCGACTTGAGTTCGTTGAGCTCACCAGTTTTTAGTTATTAAGTCAAGTAAAGTTGAATGAGATCCTGCTTCATGAGTGATTCTTTCTTAAAAAAAAATAAGATTATCTTTCTTAATCACATTATAAAGAGAAACAGTAATACCCTTGTCTTATGCAATTAAAAGTAGGTAGCGATGAAGCTATTTACAATTCACTTGTTGACACGTATACATGATAAGAAACTTAAATTACTAGAAAACATGCGAAGTTACTTGAAGTAAGCTCGTTTAAAGCCCTTGAAAAATGTGCTGCGAGCGTGTTTAACGGTTTTATTTGAAGTACTTTTTTACTTAAATGTCATTTTTGGTCTTGTTTAAAGAATATGCTTATAATTAGTGAAAGTAGGACTACCTATTTTCAGCATTGGCTAGGAAACATAATACTAGAACTTCGTAGCCAATTTTAACTCGTGCGTGACTATTGTTCTATATAAATATAATTTGGAACGTTAACGCAAACGTGTTACGAGTTGATTGATTGCCACAGCTGTAATTTCGTGAAAATTTTATTGTTTAGGCCTTTATTGAATAAACTTATATTAATTTACATCGGTGCAGGTGTTTAGAAAAATATAATTTAATGTACTAAAAACATGCAAACATGAATATTAGGAAATTCAATAATTATGGTTTTTTTGAAACACAACTCGAAAAAAGAAAACAATATCGATCGTTTCGTTTAAAAGTAGTGCTGTTTTCGGTCTTACGTAATTTTTAATTTAAAATACCTAAATTTTGCTTTTCGTTAGGTACCTAAAAATATTGACATTATCCAGCATAGAATGGTTTACATAATATTCTATTATTACTCATTCAACAACCAATCCTACCACCACTGTGCGCACAGGTATTTGCGCACAGTGGTGGTTTTCAGTTGATCCCTTCAAATAAAGTAGTTTGAATTTAATTTACTAAATACGATTGAAACTACTTTATTTAAATGCATTTGTTACACAGTGTTTCAGCTAACTATTTTTTTATCCATAAAATTTATTTTTTATATTGCCCGAAACAAAATTTTAATATCGTTTTTTTTTTGTTCTTTTTTGGGCTTTATGAGCAACTGTTGGCCTTAGGGACCTTTACAGAGCTGACGGACTTGAGGTGGCTTGGTGCACGGCGCAGGTTAGGCCTGAACCTCGGCGTATTATTATTATGCGTTATGGTGACTAACCTGGAGGCCTCCGGAGGGATCCTCGGCTCGGGCCGTCACGCTACTATTATCACCGGTTTGGGAGGCCGCCAAGCTCTTAGGGCGCTTTGGCGGAAGCTCCATGGAGTGACTAGGCTTAAAGGTCCACGAGAGGGAACCTCGCCTTGGGCTGTCACTCAACACGCGTTTAGTTCCGATTCGAGGGCGGGCACGGGCCGGAACTCGGCTCGATCGGTAGCTATTATCTGACTGGGGGAATTACTAGAGCTAACATTACTACCACTTCGGAGAGCGTTGGCGCTGGGAGAAGAAGTGGCGGAAGAAACTCCAGCAACGCTTCTATCATTAATAGGGGAGAACCTGCCATGTACGTGGCGGACCTAGTATATGTGCGCGGTGTTTTTGTGAGTTTCTGTAACTCATTTTATCCTTTCGATGGCGATAGTCGTCTCATCGTCAGGGAAGTCGAGAACGTGTCGTGGTCCACGGTGATTGCGGCGGAACATACCTGGCGACGTGGGTCTGTAGGTGACGGCACCTACGACTAGCGGATTGGTATGCGCGGCGGCGTATTCGAAGTAACGGCGCGACGCCGACTTCAGGAATTGAGCGATGGTGGGCAGCTTTAGATCGACATGTAGGTTGATATTGCGCATGAACCCGGGTGCTACCGTAGCTCTGCGTAAGAATCGATTCTGAATGACATGAAGGTCTACGGTTTTACGGTGGTAGGGCCACGCAACAGCCTCGGCTGTTGCACGAATGGGCAGGCTCGTCCGGGTAAGTACCACGACCTCACAGAAGACCGGCGTAAAGTGGAAGTATAATGCTTTCGCGTTTCGGCTGGTGAGTGAGGTGGCCGGAGCCCAATTTTCAAAAGGTTGTCAACGCATCTCGGGTGTAGCAGATGTCCATGGACGAACCGTCTGCTCGTTTTCACATAAAAAAAAGCCGGTGTCTTTGCTTCGGAGCAATGTGCGTGAAAACCGGACTATAAAGTCACCTTGTTCCGAAGGGACATTTTTGACGTTTTGTCGAGGAGCGGATAGAGGCGACTGAGTGCGCAGGCCGCCCGGTTCTTGACCCGAGTCATGTGCTGGCTGAATTTTTGAGTTGAGGACGACACCTTGGTATTTCACTTTGTTCACTCATGGTACCGGGCTATCCATGAGTTTAACGGGGGGTGGATTAGGTACATTTTTGTGCGCAAAAAGGACGGCCGTGCTTTTGGCGGGTTTGATCTCGATCTTGCATTGCCGAAACCAGTCACCGATGGTGATGGCCGCAGCTTGGAGGATGTCGATGGATCATTTCTGGTGCTCTGCCTGTGGTATAGAGACAGGTGTCGTCGGCAAAGCGGGCAAGTTCTAAATCTTTAACACGCGGTATGTCGTTCGTGTATAGTGTCAACAAGACTGGGCCCAACACCGACCCTTGAGGCATCCCGGCTCGAACGGGATGCCTCAAGGGCGAACGTGTGTTCGACAACGCATCCCGTTCGAGCCCTCGACGCGATTGTGAAAGTTCCGATTACTTAACAAGTCTCGTATTATGCATACGAGACGATCCCGTTATACCATACTTTATCGAAGGCCTTTCCCACATCTAAGAAGAGTGCTCCGGTGTTGAGTCCGTGTAGGCGTTTGACTAGAATGTACTCCGTGATGCGGTGCACTTGGTGGGTACATGAATGTTTGGCTCTGAATCCAAACTGTTCTGGGATGGGAAGCCCTTTGGAGTCCATAAAGGATCTTAAGCGGGCTAATATTAGCCTTTCAAAGATCTTCCCAGACGTTTTGAGAAGATTGTTGGGCGATATGATGTTGGGAGAGTGGCGGGTTTCGAGGGTTTGAGGAAACATCTGTTTCCTTCCTGGAAGAAGCCTTCGGTTGTAGTCGCGTCGTATATTATTACTAGTATCTGAAGGATGCTAGTAGGAAGGAGTTTAGTCACCTTATTGGTGATACCATCTGAGCCAAGCGCTTTGCGTGGGCGTAATTTAGAAATGGTTTTTACTAGTTCGGAGCACGTGACCGGGGGAACGGAATCGCGAAGTGGCTCTAAAGCTTTTTTTTCAACGTCTTCGTTCACCTTACGGATTTGTTCGGGGTTGATCGTAAGCAGACTAGGGGAGCATTAAGACTAAACTGTCGGCCAGGCAATCGGATTTCTCTTTGCCCAACATTGCTGGCGTACCTATCGGGCGGACTAGTGGTGGCATGGTTGAAATGGCATTACCCTTGAGGGTTTAGGAAGTTTCCAAAAGGCTTGATGAGACGGTTTTATTGAAGTTAAGGTTGACCTCACGCTGCAATTTACCTAGCATTCTACGATTCGAGTCGGTGGAATATCTATCATAGGCACGTGTGGCCGCATTCTTTCGTCTCAGCAAGTCGTGCACATCGTCTAGCACGGCCCAGTGATGGTCATCCACCGCTGGAACCTGTCTCGAATGAACCTCAATATGAAGCACATCCGATGAGTGTCCCTCTTTATAGGGAAAGTGCGTATGTTCGACAGGGGCTACGACTTCTAAGTCGAGCCTGTCGGATAGCGAGTTGAGTGCGGTGCCTCGACTGTTGGTACATGTCGAGTTCCATCGGGTGTGCTTGCTGTTGAAGTCGCCTGCAAGGATGGTGGCTCCTCCTATTGAGAAGAGGGCTTCAAAATCGGAGCGCAGCACTGTTGCACTTTGTCCACAAGGGAGGTAAACTGATGCTAGTGATAGGAGAGTGACCGGTCAATGCCAGCTGACAGACGGAGGCTCGAGATGCGTGAGCGCGGGCGTGTCTACCGGTACGCAGTGGAGGGATTTTTTGTAGTATTACTATTATTTATTTATTAGTGTATTATATTATTTATTAGTTTGCGGCCGCCCGGGTCGCCGGCACGATCGTTCCTAACTATTCTATAATTGGGGATGTTCGGATCCCTTGTCGCGGGTTTCAGGAACGTTTCCTGTATTAAATTATTAATAAAAGTATGTCGATTCATCATCACTCAAGAAAATTCGTATTTCGTCACGCTGTTATTTTAACCCGTTCGCGTTGTAGAAAGTTACGTTAATGGATCGCGGTTTGACTCTGCCGCTATTACGCGTGGCAGAGGGAATGATATTTTCGGTACTTTCGGACGGATATTTTCGGTACTATTGTTTATTTTAATGTAGATCATTTACAAGTATTCTTAAAGTGTCGTTGCTTTCACTAGTTAAGGACGTTCTTAAAGCTTAGAAGTATTTTTTCCTTTTATTTTTAATTAACATTATTATCGAAGAATTCCTGAACTTAAAGTACCTTGGTTTATAATGAAAAGTTCTACAAATGTAATTATAAGGCCAGAATATGCGATTCCGTGTCCGAATAATTTTTTTGGAGGTCGCAATTGATTGACTTTTTCTAGTGACACTATATCACCTCAATTGATTATTCGGGTAAAACAATTTGTTTAATGATATTGATATAACGGTGGTGGGGCCACGCGGCAGCCTCGGCTGTTGCACGAATGGGCAGGCTCGTCCGTGTAAGTACCACGACCTCACAGAAGACCGGCGTAAAGTGGAAATATAATACTTTCGCGTTTCGTCTGGTCAATGAGGTAGCCGGAGACCAATTTTCAAAAGGTTGTCAACGCATCTGGAACCCTCGGGTGAAGCAGATGTCCATGGGCGGCGGTATTCATTTATCATCAGGTGAACCGTCTGTTCGCTTGGCAACTTTCACATAAAAAAAATATTATCAATACATTGTAATCAGTTTTTCACATATATAACTATATATTTTGAAACCATTACTTTATTTAGTTTATAAGTTAATGGTAACAACATAAAACATATACAATTATAAATACATATAGTAGTAAAATAACGTGGTTGAGCCAAAAAGTGACTTGTCTATAAATAAATTTCGATTAATTAGTGCCCCGAATATAAAAAGCTGAGTGGTCGTTTGCCAAATTTGAAAATCGAGCGTTAAATTGTACAAGTTCAGCTATGACTAGTAGTATCGTGAAGCTAAATTGGCTTTCTTTCAGGAGACCTTATGGACGTGCTGGCGCTGTTCACGTCGTCCGTGAACTTCGTCTTGTATTGCAGCATGAGTCGCCAGTTCCGATGCACATTTGCAAGATTGGCCCGACGTGTGCTGTACACCGCGGAGCCCCCAAAGTCATCTGTGAAACACGAGCCCACTACACAGGTAGTAACACCGCTGTGTGCGACTCAACAGTTTAACAACTCAACCGGTGTCAGAACAAAGACAACAAACATTATTAAACAATTTTGTCCAAATTATGCTTTTGTCGTACTTTTTGTGCGGACCCAGGGAGTTTTGAAGAAATATTTTCGAAGTTGTACTTCTTTTGGCGGGTTTGAAACAATTATGAGAGTAAAACTTTCACGATGAGCGCGCACGCCGACAGCGACATGATTTAGTTGGGTGCAAACTGTTCATCAATTTCACTATATTACCATGGAAACCAATTACAATGTTTGACATTTACATATAATTTACCAAATTAAACCGTTATCAATTACATTTCATGTCTTTTTCACAAACAAAGCGTACTGGCACAGGGGCTAACATTATTAGTTAATTTTCTTTTGTTACGCTAAATAAGTATAATTTCTTATGTGTGTACATCACTCTGACAGATTATTTTTCTCAATCTGTATTTGGCAAGAAAATTAAGAGCTATAAGAAGCTTGATCACATTATAATATGTTATTATAAAATGTTTGTTGTTATGAGTGTTAAATTACGAGAATGAAGTATTTTTGTTCCCTAGGTTACAGGACCGCTTTAGCGACAGATGCCCGCCCTAAATAGGGTGGTGGAGGAGAGCGTAATATAATGCACAGGTAATTATATAAAATATTAAAATATCTTTACAGAAACTAAATGGTGTTACGGCGGTGCAAAATATTAATATTATACGTGTGTTTTACTTGCGGATATCACCAATTCCTCTAGATATATAACATATCGATAATGCCAGTAACATAAATTAATTCAGTAGTTTAGTTAATAATTTCAATGGTCAGAATATAATATATAGTTTTTGACGTAATAGAATGCAGAGTACAAATCGTTTGTGCGTTGATGGTGTTAATCTTTTTTCAACCAACACAATTTTTTTATTTTCAGGTATATAACCCGCGTAGGTAAGATAAATTACATCAAAATTTGTGTCAGTGGTGATCCGAGATAATAGTTCTTTAAAATCGTTAAATGTTTAATGAAAAGTTATAATAATAATACTACTGTCAACATAAATTATTTACGAATCACTAACTAAAATTAAACATAATATGAAAATGTTACAATGTTAAAATTTAACTAATATTAATAAATATTCTCAATTTTGTAAATATTTGTTTAAGATTTAGTAAAATAGAAAAATTATGTTAATTGCATATTTTTAGTACTGTACAGAACAGGATTTTATACAAATATCATGAAATAAAAATACTTTTTTACGTATACTACTTAGGGTGGGCGTAGAAACCTCACAGTTTATCAGAAACTGTTGAGAACTGCTAGTATTTGTGACTAATGAGCCGTGACGCAAATACTAAAAGTATCACATTTTCTGAATATTTCCTAATAATAGGTTTTAATTTATATTAGGGGTCCAATACTTTGCTATCTTAATAAAAAATAATTAGTTTATTGTTCCCATTATGTATGTTTTTAACCTTAATAATGATCATCTTGTGTAATGTTTTTGTAGAAAATACTGCGAAATGTTTTTTAATAATGTGACTAAAAATAAAATTATTATAAAAATATTTATGATTTTCATTTAATTCCAATCATGTAGGCAATATTATAATAGTTTTAAAACTTATCGGATGGTAATGATTCTGTGGAAAATACTGTGAAAAGCTTTAACGAGATGACTGAAAATAACATTATTATAGAATATTCATGAGTTTCTTTTAATTTCAATCATGGACGTAATCTTAATATCGTACTAAAACTTATCAGATCTTTGAGTAGGCAGTTACAAAATTCTATTTGCTAATGTTTTGAAATTTACATCAATCACTAGCAGCGTAAAGTGAACAAAAATATACAATGTTGTCTGAGTAATTTATTTATAAAGAGCACCAGACTAGTGTCAGCTACGTACCACTAAACTATCACGCAATTTTTTAATAACTCGAACGTGTTCATATGGGTGTTATAACTGATTAATTTATAAGCTAACTAGCGATCCCCCTCGGATACGCACGGGAGCAGTTTTCTAATAATTAAAAGAGAGCTATTGCGAATTAGCAAAAAATACTGAGTATAACAATTTGATAACATTTATAGATTTATTTATATTTTTTTATGTCTCAACGAATTGACACGTAGCGCCGTTATTTGTTCTGAATTCATCTGAATGTTAAAATGTAAGAAACAATATTAATTTATATTAAAAGGTAACTTTTAAAACATATTTATATCAATAAGGATTAAAAATAATTGGAGAAAATAGCTTTGCAAAACCCTATAGTTTTACTCATCTATAATTGATAAAAACAGTTATTGTGAGTGTAACCTACGCAATCTAAGGCTTTTCTCAAACCCTTTTTAAGACTGAATTTTTTTTATTATTTTGGTTTGTGTTTGGTATTATTTTTGATTTGAACTTTTTGATTATACCATATAACGATAAGGGTTTTTTGTATAAAATAATTACAAATTATATACACAACCTTTCTCGTTGATAGTTCTTTCTTGTAGCGAAAACTGTTAATTCGTTGCATGGTTCAGAAGTAAAAGTAAGTTTTTTTTTTTGAAGAGCAACCATAATTTGTTCTTTAATGAATTGACAGTGTTACAGCCACATTTATCATAGGCATTAGAATTTTGTAATTGCGCCGATTTTATTTTGAAAAAAAAAAAAACCAAGGGCAGTCGTGAGTCTCTTCTTAAATAAAAATAATTCCTCTGAAGTATTAGTCTGCTAAAAAGTATATCTACAAAGCAAAGCATAAAACGAATATTTAATCTATAAATAGAACTCGCAATCGCTTACATACTGTACGGTTAGTTAGCTATGAAATAATGCGAATTTTTCCTGCTAATGAAAGAGTGTCATACAGATAATTAAACCAAAAAAAATTATAAATTAAATTAAAAAGTGGCGCCGACTAAACCTAAACCTGTTAAAAATATTGATAATAATTATCTATTGACTTATTTTAATTCCAATGGGTATAAACTAAGTCTAGATATAACTGGTTTGGTATTCGTCGTTATAATACTTTGCACGTTTCCTAGACAAATACTAGGTCTCAAAGTACTTGGCTAGAAAGTATGTTTTTAGGGGTCCCGTACCCAAACTCTAAAACCTATTACTAAGACTCCTCTGCCTGTCTGTCTGTCCATCTGTCACCAGGCTTGTATCTAATGAACCGCGATAGTTAGACAGTGATGATGTATTTCTGTTGCCGTTATAACAACAAATATTTAAGTGGGGCTCCCATACAACAGACATGATTTTTTTTGCCCTTTTTATAGATAATGGTACGGAGCCCTTCGTGCAACTCGCACTTGTCTGTTTTTTTCTATGTATGAAAATGGCAAGCGAGCTGCTGATATTAAGTGATAACTGCCACCCAGGGAAATTTGTAACACTTTTTGTTTAATAAAGTTTGGCCCCAGTTACCTCATTCACCAGACAAAACGCAGAAGTTAATGTTTCCACTTCACACCGGTCTTCTCTTAGGTCGTGTCACTTACTCAGACGGATCTGCCTATTAGTGCAACAGTGAAGACTGTTGCGTTGCCCTAACATTGTCAAAATGTTTGGATTTGTGGAGTTATATACGTTTTATCATTCTCAAATTATGACATAGATATTACATAAATATATGGACCATTACATTTTTATGTAAGCAAGCTGGCAGGCGGTTCTGACCTGATCTCCGGTGAGTTGGCTTGCAACGGCCAGGTTTTCTGCCCTGTGACTTAGAAGCTGAGATTCTGTCGTAATTACACTACAGTTGTGCGAGGAAATAAAAGCTCAGGGCCATATGCCGGCCCCAAAGGAGTTGAAGGAACACCTGGCATCAGGGATTGGGAGCGAGGCTGGATCACCTCAGAGTTAGCCTAAGAACTGTGACGATCATACGACCTGTCCTAAAGTGGTAGCTAGACAGGCGACGCGGTACCCCTACTACGAGCACCACGCGACGAGGATCTACGATCTCAGGACACGGTTGTTGCGGGAGGTATCTGTTTCGCGTGGCAAGGAGGGAAATGCCGAGGAGACGGTCCAACGCTGGAGGACGGCCGCGCTGGAGTAGTGCGTAGCCTTGATGGAATGGATGGTGGTTTTTGCTATGCAGCGCAAAGAGAAGGCGTTGGGCGCTGTGCTCAACCCTTATCCAAAACTATTATCACCCAAAAAGAGGCCGCGAAGGGACTCATGGAGGAAAATACCACTCTGGATATCCACCTGTGGAGACCGTCGCGCTGGAAGCTAGTCTTTGCGCGCATCCTTCCCCTTGATATTGAGACCCCGGGTGGCAGGCATGGGGTCATCTCCTGCTCAATATCTGACTCATGCGGGTTTCTGTACTAAGGGCACCGGCCAGGGTGTTCTATCATCTGATGAGAGGAGGCCTAAGAAGGACATACTCATATCGCGCCCGGGTCGCGCAAAATTGCATCTTCGTGTTCCCGTGTTTCCGGACAGGTAGTGTCAGCGACAGAGAGAACTGCATTAAATTTTGTTTGTATGTGTGAATATTTTTTATAAGTGTGAATCTGGGGCAGAATGGGTACCCCCATTCTGACTCGGATTCACACATATGTTCCTGCCGCTGCCCCAGTCCATTGATAGGCGATTCGTAAAGGATTTTTCCTACGTAAAAAGGGCATTTCATCACATATTGAGTGATTACCGCTATCCATACACATCTGCAACATCGAAATGGTCGTAAACGTTGCGATAAAAGTACCTACTTATGTGGAGAAGCCAACATTTCATTAAACGCGACTCAAGATCTCTATGACATTTACACAACTTGTTTGTAGATTTTTTATTTTCTTTTTTGATCAAAATCACACTCCTATGCCATGCTTCTGGCGTAGTACCTTGAAGTATGACGGAATTGAAAACTGAACTTCTAATAATGGTTTTCCATCCGTTCGTAGAAGTTAAGTCGAAATTCCGTCATCCGGTGCCTTGTTGTTTTTAAGCTGTTTCAGAGCCATTCTAATCTAGTACGGGCTGATGACTGGGATATCCCCAGTGTAGTGTCGGGTCAACCTAGCCAACCTTTGTTATTAGACTAAGCCCAACAGACGACTAAGCCGTGATAGCTCAGTGTTCGAGCGCTCGCCTTTCATTCAATATACTCGAGCAACTTGAGTTCGATTTCCGATGCCAGCACAAATGAAATTGTTAATGTCAAGTGCTCACGTGCTCAGCGATGTAGGAAAACATCGTGAGGAAACCTGCATATTTTCGAAATAATAACATTTCGAAGATATGTGAAGTCCGTCAATCCGCAGTGGGGCTGCGTGGTGGACTATGCCCTGATTGAAAACAATCGGAAAATTGATTAATCAGCGCATAAGGAAGAGCTATCTTAGCATTATCTTCTGAATTTCAGACAGCATGCTTATCGAAAAAGTAAAGCGACCGAAACAGCCGGAGGAGGTTAGCGTGCTCGTAGGTATGAGAACAATAAATTTTCTAGGTCACAGTGGTCGACTTATTACCCGACCCCTTACACAAATTTTCATCACAATCATAACCATCCTCTCCCTAACCCTGAATTCCTCAAAGTACTTCACGCT